AGTTGGCTAAAGTTCACCGATTTGGGCCTAAATCGAAACTTATCGGCCGGAAAAATGATATCGTCTACTTGAAAATGCACACGCCAACTCCGAACGATTCGCCCCCAAAAACATAAATCACGCCCGTTAAAGGAAACGTTTTCTCGAAGATTTCCCGGAATTGATTCCGTTCGTGGCATTGATGAGGAGCCGGCTTTTCCGCCTGGGTTCACTCCAACGTTGCGCAGTCTGAGGAGGGTTCGAGGGCCGAAACTTATTAACAAATCCGTCCGAGTGTCCATCATTCGCCGTTAATGCGGCTCTTCAATCTCCACTTGCAACAGACGTGATCGGTTTCGCCAATGTGTTTGGCGTGCGGAAACTCACTTTTCCCCTTGCGCGAGCGATTTTCGGGAATTCGGATGATAATCGCATTAACCCGAACCCTTAGCAGCCTGAGGATGATTGGTTGCCGAAACGTTTTCACCTGCTTTAGGGTTTTTGGGGCTGACAAGCGTGCAATCTTGCCAATTTTCGCGTTAAGCACCAACTCCTTTGAATATTCGCAACTTTCTAACTGAAGTTGGGAGAGCCATGGAACTTGCACTCCCTCTAGCGGACGCTGGTGGTCACACCAGGTAAACATTTGGGGAAAATCCAGCGTGTTGCTAATTTTTTACTGCTCAGTCAATGTAGGTCTCCAAACTGCGCTGCCTCTTTTTTGCGCCATCTTCTTTAATAATGCACAACTTCCAAACCAGAGGACGTGGCAACATCGCACTTTCACATGCTATTCCCGATGGATTCTACGAACGTTGGTGAAAGTTGCAAAAAAAACGCAAGCGTCATTCTGATTTGCCGCCTCATAGTCCATGTTGGACTCAAAATTACGTTTCATCGCTTTTGTGTCAACTGATTTAAAAATTCGTAACTCCGAAACCAGAATCAATAGCGCAATGAAACTTTCGCACTATTTAGACGACACCGCAGGGAAAACACAGGAGAAGTTTCACTAAAATCACTAAATAGGCCAATTTTTTACAGCCCAGTGAATGCAGGCTTCAAAAATAAGTTGCAACCTTGTTGTGACATCTGTTTAAAAATTCGTAACTCCTAAACCAGCCGACCAAGAAAAATGAAACTTTTGCACTCGTTAGCAGACACTTCACTCCAAAGCCTGCAGGAGTTACAAAAAAAGGGGCAGTGTCATCCTGATTTTTCACCCCCGAGTCTATGTTGATCGCAAAAGTACGTTTTGTCCTTTTTGTGTCAACTGCTTTAAGAATTCCTAACTCCCAAACCAGAACTCCTAAAACAATGAAACTTTCACACTATTTAGAAGACACGTCACGAAAGCCACCGGAGAAGTTTCACTAAAATCACTCAATGCGCCAATTTTTTACAGCTCAGTCAATGCAGGTTTCAAAAATAAGTTGCAACCTTGTTGTGTCATCTGTTTAAAAATTCCTAACTCCCAAACCAGCCAACTGAGAAAAATGAAACTTTTGCACTCGTTAGCAGACGATTCACCCCAAAGTCTGCAGGAGTTACAAAGAAAAGGGTGGCGCCATCCTGATTTTTCACCCCCGAGTCTATGTTGATCGCAAAAGTACGTTTTGTCCTTTTTGTGTCAACTGCTTTAAGAATTCCTAACTCCCAAACCAAAACTCCTAGAACAATGAAATTTTCGCACTATTTAGAAGACACTTTACTGAACCCATCGGAGAAGTTTTACTAGAATAACTAAATAGGCCAATGTTTTACAGCTCAGTGAATGCAGGTTTCAAAAATAAGTTGCAACCTTGTTGTGTCATCTGTTTAAAAATTCCTAACTCCCAAACCAGCCAACTGAGAAAAATGAAACTTTTGCCCTCGTTAGCAGACACTTCACTAGAAAGCCTGCAGGAGTTACAAAGAAAAGGGCATCGTCATCCTGATTTTTCACCCCAGAGTCTATGTTGGTTGCAAAAGTACGTTTCGCCCTTTTTGTGTCAACTGCTTTAAAAATTCCTAACTGCCAAACAAGAACTCCTAGAAGAATAAAACTTTCGCACGATTTAGAAGACACTTCACTGAAACCACCGGAGAAGTTTCACTAAAATCACTCAATGCGCCAATTTTTTACAGCTCAGTCAATGCAGGTCTCAAAAAAAGCTTCGCCCCCTTGCACCATCGCATTCAAAAATCCCCAGCTCCCCAGCAGGGGCAAGTGGCAACTTGAAATTTTCACCCGCTCTCAGGCACCTTCTAACGAAACACTCTGACTTGCAGGTGCAGCAGGCGATGTCCCACCTGCGGCCCCAGCTGCTCCTTTTGGGCCTCTTCCTGCTCAGCAAAGGTAAGACTCTTTCAGCTCATCGCAGCTCATCCCAACTTGGAGCCACAAATCGCTGCTCAACGCCAGCCAATAGAGCCGATTGCTCAACGTCGACTCTTTCACGTTTCACTTCACCGGAAAAAAGGACGCCTTCCAAATCTGACTTTGCCCGTAAATCGATTACGGTCGGACGGTTCGAAGTCCTTTGCAGAAAAGCGGCCGAAAGTTTCTAAACTTTTCCACGCGCGGTTATTCGACTGGGTTTTACCATAAAACTCCCCATTTCGCTTTGAAAGGATGCGGCCGCCCCTTCGCCGCCCTTTTCCACCTGGAAAACGACCCCCTCTTTCAATTGCTCCCCATGCAGTGGCAATTTATGCCAACTTTTCGGTCGCTCAGCGGAATAAACTCGACTAAATAATCGTCGGGAGTCGGAACCGGGTCCAGAATGTCCAGAGATTGTCCAGAGAATGTCCAGGACGTCCAGGGACAGGGAAAAATTGGGTTTTTTGGCGTCTTTGGCAATCACTTCGGACCTGAAAGGCCGCTGCTTTAAAACCCGCCCTCCCAATCCATTAAGCGACCGAAACACTGTTTGCCAGATCGGCTCTTTTTCCAGACTCTGGATCCTTTGTGCGATTCTAACCTATACGAGGCTCGTCATTCCAGACGCGACTCAATTGCGCCCGCTGTTTGTCTGTTCGAATTAGTTCGATAATCCTGGAAAGCGTCGGAATCTTTGTCCAGATTGGGGTGGAAAAAGCGCGCTGGTTTTCCTTTCGCAGTGGAAATTTTCCGCAAATCTTCTGAGCCCCTCGGGCAATCAGAAAATGTCAACAAATTTGCGCTGTACGCCCGCAAGGTGGCGCTTTTTGAGGAGTTTTCGCGACAAAGTCTGAAACCGATGTGCACATGTAAACGCGGCCTCTGTGGAAAAGGGTGC